TTTTTTCCTTATCAACTTTTCTTTAATCAAGATCCATAGGCGTAAGCTTAGTATCAATCTCTTCATCTACTTCTTCAGAAGATGAAGATTTTCTACTACTAGTTTCATCTTTTACTAATGAATTAGTAGTTAAAATTTTATCTTTTTTTTATCTTCTTCATCTGAACTACTTCCATCGATAATATCATAATATCATAATTAAGTATGTAATGATAATTAAACTTTTTAAAAAGTTCTATACATGTTTCATATAGTTCTATCACATTCAAATAATCAATCCTTTCTTTATAAACAGTGATTTTTTTCATTTTATACTTAAAATGTTCTATAAGACTTTTATAAGAGTTAAAATCTAATTTTTTTGCTTTAAAAAACTCAATTGGATTAGAAGATGATGGTTCATCATCCTTAAAAGTAAGAATAGCACTATCATAATATAAAGGTCTAAAGTTATTTGTTTGATTTTTATCAACTTCTAATAATTCTAATTTTTTTATTAATATTTATTAATAACTATTTAGAATCTTGATTTAAATCTAAACTAGTAACTTATCCTAAATTATCTATTTTTTATTCTAGTTTATCAACTTTATTAAATAATTTTTTTATCAACTAAACCATTAATACTAAACAAAAGGTTTCTTCTCAAAATCCTAATCTAGAATTACCATTTTCTACCCATTTTCAACCACCAATCCCTTACCCTAATCCAGGATATCTTTATTCTCCTCAAACATATTTTCCTTTCCTACAACCTTAATTACAATCAATAATAAAATCTATTCAAATTCTTAACATTTCTCAATTCTCGTATGATCCAAATCAATGGACACCTAACCCCTATTCTGACGTTCTTAAAAGAATTGAAGAATTGCTTAAACCAAGACAACCTCTTATAGCAATAAAAGATTTTTATAACCCAAAAAAGCCCCTGAATCATATAATCTATTTAATAATGTATGAAAAGCCCATATATTTGAAAGCAAAGCTAATTTTTTAAAAAGTGACAAAATTAACACAAGTTTTAGCTAATCAACCTGAACAACAAGCTCAATTTCAAAAACTTATTTTCAAAACAATGTGTACAAGTAACTTGCTAAAACATCAAGATCCTGACTTTATTGTTATTGACGAGAATTTATACTTCCTTTAAAAGATAAACAATCTCTGAACTTTGTGAAATTTTTGAAAAAGAAACTTTCTTCTAAAATATTAAAATTAAAGAAAATTTTAATATTTTAAAAAATTATCTTTCTTTTACTCAAAGAGTTATTTGAAAGAATAAATAATTCTATTCTTATTGAAATAGAAAAACTATTACAAGAAAAATTTACAAATTATCATTTTTAAAAAAACAATTCTATAATACATCTTGAAAATGTTGAAATAAAATAACCCTTTCAAAAAATAAAATTTAAATTTGATCATAAACATTCGATATAATAAGTATCGAACTTGCATTAGTAAGCCAATTAGCTGTACAAAATTTTTCTTTTCATTTGATAAAACAATTCTCCACTTACATTAAAACAAAATTTATTGATTTCATAAAAAATATCAATATTTTTGTTATATCCGTTTTAATATTACCAGTCTACTAAGGATTTATCAAAGAAAAAGATTTATCCAACTACATCAAATATGGGAAATTCAAAAATACGAGATTTATCAAAGAAAAAAATTATCCATTAAAAAATTGATGGGTGAACCTATTTTTGAAAAAATCAATGAGAATTCTGACCAGCTTAACCAAGCATTAAGAAAGTTTTCATCTCCTAATCAATACCAATTCCAAATAGGAATATTTATGATAGACAAAGCAAAAACACTGTATTGTGAAATAATAAAATCTCAATATCCTCAAGTCTCTATTTCAACATATGACCGTAAAATCTTCATTCAAAGATCTTACAATGAAAAAAAATTGCCACCAACTGAACTACAAGCATTGGATCTTTTGAAATATTTATAAAAAATGGAAGACATAAGACCATCCTTAACATTTATTATTCCAATACCAAAAAGGATGGACCATTTAAAACAAAACTAAGAACAATTCTCCATTCAGATGATGAAGAACTAATAAATCTTAATATATTCAAGATGAATAGGATAGCTTGCAAGGTCAGCATCAACTTGCAAAGCAATATAGCAGTGGCCATATTTTGTTGAACAAAGATAACTCTGACAAACTCAATCAAAGTAGTTGTCATCAACTCAACCAGGGTTAACTATCATCAACCCAACCAAGGTTAAGTTAATAATTGTCATCATTACAATTTTACTTTTTATCAAAGTGAAGTTAGCTAACCAATAAATGCTACCTAACATAATTAAAGATTGACTATTGAATGTAAAAATACGAAGGACAATAGGAAGGAATACTCTCTTCCCCTTCTCCTTTAGTCTTTCTTTCCTTTCTTTCACTCTTGTAATTTCTATCTCTAGTCTAATTGTGTTACCCAAACCCAAGACAAAATACATTGGACAAGATACTGGAATATCAATTGTAGCAATCTCATTTAGACACAATTCAATTGCCCAGATAACCCAGAGATGAAAATCAATGTTGATTTATTGCCTCGAAAATAAACTTAAGATAGAGAAGCTATAGCTAAAATAGAAATTTTTGGATCAGAAAAGCTGGAATTCTTGAATTTCTATCAGAATGTTTGGAAAGCACAATAAGTGAACCGCTGATAGTAATCAGCTCTTACAGTTTAAGACTGTTTATAGCACCATTAGTTTACCCTTTTTTAGGCATGGCAGCAAGTCTGGTGTACATTCTTGCCATAGACTGGAATCCTCTGATATCACCAGACCTTAAAAGATTGCCTGTCCACATGCAGGAAAGGTGTCTGTTAAGGATAAACATCAAGCATAAATGCAGCTCAAAGTTCCATAGAATTTATATAGCCAATAGAGGTGCCAATATATCAAATGCCCAAAGAAAATACTAATAATTCCATTCCCACCTCTAATGGAAGGAAGCAAGCATAATAGAAACAGTGACAGCAATGAGGGCAGGAAAAAAAGAATACTGTTAGAAGGAGGAAAAACAGATATATCTACGATGCTTATATACTATTTCCGGAAATATAAGATAAGAAATTAACTTTTCATTTCTTCAGTTCACCAAGGTCATAGTTTTTGGTTAAAAAGAGTTTTTTGACAACATTTCCTATCAGAAAGAAGTAAATTCTTTAAGATCCAAGAACTTTCTCACATGACAATATACATCCGAATCCAATTAAAGTAGTAAAAGGAGAACATTTGTAATCACATTTATATTTAAGATAATCTTTTACCATTTCCCTCAGTAAATTTATAATGTATGAAGCAGAAAAGAAAAACATTAAATAGACCAACTTACCAGAATCACAATTAAGCGGGCTATCCGGTTCTGGATGAGCCATCAAAGCTATTATAGCCCTACAAACAGACTGAAGTGTCCAAGCAGGGCTCCATGCATTCTTCAATATATCAAGGCAAATCTCTCCTGTCTGTGCAACTAATAATAAATCAAAACTAAACCCTCAATTATGCGTCTTGAATTATCACAAATTAATAATCTTTAGACTTATCAGAAGTGGGATTCCTACAATATATGCGTGTGTGGCAATAGAATGGATGACCAAGCTCTACTGTTTTACACGAGTAAAACAAGTTCTAGGGCAAAAAATTCATATATATAGAAGAAGATTGTAATGTTGCTGATTTTTGTTTCTAACATTATGATCCAATTTATCCACCCTAGCATTCTGGTAATTAAGATGAAAGTGCATAGACATAAGGTTTTGCATCAATTTGAAGAAGATAGTGTTTACTAAATAAAAGCAGAATCTTCCTTAGCCTCATACAATCTGTTGGTGGAAAAGGTTCTCATAAATCTCTCCTAACCTTCTCTCCCTAGCCATATTAATTGACAAACTTGAATACTAGATTGTGCAGAAACTAATAGGTACTATGGTGAATAAGTACCGTTTCTCCATCAAGGTCTTTTTGGCAGTCATGGCTGCCAAGTTAAGAAACAACAAGTATCCCAATTCTCGAAAGAAGGAACGAAAAATCATAAAATTTTAGTTAGATATTAAGATGCAGTCTTAAGCGTTGGCACATCTTTCTTGCTTCCATTTTATGCTGTCAAATATTCAAGTAGAACATATAACGTTATTGTGCCATAGAATTTATAACTTGAAATGCACATTGGGATGAAAATTTTTCGTCAAGAACCGCACTTGAGGAGGTTGCAAAGGGTACTGCTCAGGAACAGCAAAAGCAAGCTGGAAAACTCCACCTTCATAAGGTGTCTCAGATGGCCCCTATAGAAAAAGGTCATATAATTTAGACAAAAATCAAAACATTAATAATGTCTACCATATGTTTTTCCTCGGTTTTACTTTGAATCAACCTTGATAAGAGCAGTCCACTTAAATATGTTGGAATCATCACAAACAAGTTGAATATCTGGATCGGCAGCCTTTTCTCGCTACACCTCTTTGTATTCCTTGAACAACCTAGCTCTTGATGCCTTCATAAAAAGATTTCAACAACATTAATCGAGGGAAAAAAAATTTTTTTTGACAAAAACCCACACTAAATTCTTAGGTAATCTCCATTTATTTGATTAAAAACACAACAATACATAATTAAACCAACAAAAAACCAAGAAATCTTAGTAAATATCAGCTAACCTGCATTTTTGGTCGCTTGCTGGAATTTCGAAGATACTTCAACAAATTATATGTTTATATATCAGCGTGACAGATAGCTGCAGAACTGAAAGCAAGAGGTAACGTTGTTAACAATTTTAAACCACCAAATTGTATATTATTTGCGACCAGAGCCATAAGGATTTGCGAAAATAATTAATCATCAACGGTTTGCTGGGGATCAGATCAAAAAAGATAGGGATTCAAAAAATAAATCAAAACGATAATTGATAATTAGAAAAGAAAACAAAAGGAAAAGGAAAAGCGAGCTTATTTGAATCTGACCTGGTGAAGTTCCTTGGGAAGGGAGAAAAGGGTAGCTTTCTTAGGTCGTCTGTTGATTTTGGTAATGAGAAGGGAAAAAAGCTCGGTGAGTGGAGTTTTGATTCCGTGTTTCACGATCTATTTTTATTTTGATGTCAATGGTCATAAACTGCTCTATGATTGACGCTTAACCCTAGGCGAATAAGATGGACTCTGGTAGGATGATTTAAGATGCGTAACCAAACAAGGACAATGTGGCATTAACCCTAGAAATTAGAAAAGCTTAAACGCTTCTGTAAGAGCAACTTGTAGGATCCAAAAGAGAAAAAAAGTTTTAATGGCCGGTTCGACGATTCTATCGAGACTATCATCGGCTCGGTTAAAGGCTCTTCCTTTCAAGCTTAAAAGCAATAAATCTGGGTTACCTATGATTTCTCCACTGAATTCGAGCTCTCAGACTGAGGTTGCTTCTTCAGTGAAGCGCATTTCTGCGATTTCAAGGTGATTTTTTTTCTAATAAATGTTGGGCTGTAAAGTCATAAAATGGATTATTCGCTTTTCCTTTTACAGGTTTATGTAAATCTTTTTCCGAAGGTCCGTTAAGTAATAACAGTGTTTCTTTTTCCCTTATTTGCTCGGGATTTTAGATTACCAGTGGAGCTAAGCTGCTTAATCTCAATGATGCCATTACACAGTGCAGTAGCTTCGGCTCGCCTCAGATCATTTCTTGCCATAGAATCTCAGAGTTGGGGTTTGATTCCTCAAGGTTTCTCTCTCACTAAACACATGGAATGATTTTTATTTTTGGTATCCAATGTTCATTGTTTTAACATTGCCAGAACTAAAGCTTATTAATACAAAAAAAAGGGACTGGTTAAAGCAACATTTTGATCTTTAGAAAAGCTCTTTATGGTTAGTAGCCAATTTGGCTATGATGCATCTAAAGTTAAGCATTTGCTTCATCTATGATGCATTCGAGGTTGACATTTTAAGACGTTTTCTCTAATACATTTGAATGTAAATAGTTCTCCATAGAGCATAGTTTGTTGCATGTGTTTTGAATCGTCCTTGAGCATTCACTGGTAAGGACATGCCTTATTTGTTGATAGTTCGTTTACTCAACAAGCTGAAACTATATATATGCTAGATAAAGTACAATAGTTTATACTTTATATAATGATGCTAAATTGATTGAGTAATATTAAAGACAATGAATATCTTGTTTATGTTGTTCTTTCTAAATGTTTTGGCAATTGAGCGTAATGATCGGTTACGAGAATGAATCGGTTGTTCTAATTCACGTTGCCTTCAATGTTGCAGGTATCTCCATGCCTTTATAACAGCACCCTCTTTTAGTAGTTGTTAATTGTTGTCAAAATGGAGTGCAGTTCCATTCTGAATTTGAAATCTGTAGGGGTTAATAATTTTCTCATTGGCTGTTATGACATCAAGATGAATGCTGGGAGTGTTGATCAATAAGAAGCCAGAAAGACGTGAGTTGGCATCAAGAAACTTTGATCCCTTGGATTGAGCCAAATCTTATCTGTGTATGCTTCATCACATCAAAAATTAATTTAAAGTAAGGTTCTTGTTAAGGTTTATATATATATATATATGTTTTTCGTTAAGTTAAAGTTGAGGGAGATTGCCGACACATCTCTACCTCTGCGTTTCTTTTTTAGTAGTATCAACGATCTTCGCTCTGTCTTTCTTACATGAAAAGTTTGTAATTTCAGGAGGATGGCAGTACGTACCATCTGTATGGTCTCAATTGTTCTATAAAATTTAGGATTCTAAACATTTACTCCTTCCTTACCCGCCAATGAAAGAAGTAGACCGTAGTTCGGCTATCCAGTTACCGGTAACACTGAAGTAATTCCAACAATCTCAACTACTAAAACTTGACTATGTGCATCTTTAACTCTTTGAGAGTAATCCTCTGGGAGAAAAAGTGAATGATGAAAGAGTGCCTCAGTGCTCTAGCTGACTTGCTCGGTTTAAGCAATCTGCCATCCCTTTCCCAATCCTATCCAACTGAGTCATTTTTTTCTCTTAGAACAAACAGTTGTTACGCCCAGCCAATATCAGATTAGAAATCCATGTCTTTTGTCTTGCAAACGAATTACATGAAGAAATGGGAGAGTTTGTTGTGCTTCTGCATGATTCCACAGACAAGAATGTTCATTCAATACTTCCAAAGCTCACCAACACGAATTCCTCGAAAATTACTTTTTTTAAAACCTTCGTACGTGTCTAAGAAAGAGGGTTTCTGATAGTTTTAACTCTGAAAAAGAGGGCAATGGAAAATTAGTTTAAAAAGAGACTTTGGCCTCTTATGTACCAAAAAAACTAAGTTGAATGATTGAGTCGGGGCATCCAGCTCCTCATAATGTACTTGGTATAACAACAAAAGATGAGTTTTCACCAAGGCAAACTGTGCACAAGAATACAAAAATGCCTAGTCCTAAAGCGTAGACAAATTCCATAATCTGTTCTAATGTGCCATTAAATAGAACTCTACACATGTGGCACAAGACGAAAAAAATTCTACACAACCCTCTAATTCAATAAAAGCAAATAGCAAATCCGGAAATGCAAAATATTATAACAGCCTTACAATTCAAAATGCTTACGGAAAATTTATGCCTCAGCCTTTAAACTTGGAAAGAAATTCAACATATACATTATATAACAACAAAAACAAATTTTCCACAACTCACAGAGAGAACCAAATATAAAAAAATCAACCAAACCCAAAGAGGTGATCTTTCCATTTTCTCTACAGGGAACGTACATGATTCTAATGCCAAACATGCAACACAAAATGAGTCAAGAGACTGGTGAAGAATATACTATATATTAGAAATTTGAAAAATATTTAAGGAAATGAAAGAAAGAAAATGAGAAAAAGGAAACAAGTTAGCCACCAAAAAATATAAAATAAAAAATGAAAAAAGAAAAAAAAGAAGCAAATTCCAGGTTCACATGCTACCAGCTCTTCCAGGAGCGGTTTTCGTTGATTTAATTTTTGCCATGTCAACAAGGTCTCCAAACAGCTTATCCTCTGGTTTTGAAGGCTTGCTCGGTGGAACGTAATACGAAGTGGAAACCTGGTTGGAAGAGTTTCTCAAGCCATTTTCATCTCTGGTGGATAGCCCATACATTTGCTGATCAAGAAACTGCTGCTGACCATAGCCATATGCTCCCATTTGGTTGCCATACATTTGTTGAGGATAGATGGAAGCCATTTGCCCACCTGGCATTTGCTGTGGAAGCATGCCCATATAATGTGCTCCCTGGAATGGTTGGGGATAAAACCCACCAAACTGGTTTCCCTGAACAGCCTGGTTATTAATTGCTGACAAATGACCGGTTGTGATTGGCTGAATGTACATACCCCCCACCTGATCACTTTCAATATGTTGAGGTCCTTGAGGTTGGCCATTTGTTACAACTTCTTGAGTAACCATTGACTGGGGATATTGAGAACCTGCAACCGGGCTAGAGTCCACTGCCTGTGCTTCCCAGGGAGGCGGTGGTAGTGAGCCACTGCTCTGGGCACCTTCTCAACATGAAAAATGTAAGCTTCATAAATTATAATGTAGTAGTGACAAGAACATAACTATTCAGCCTGCCAAAGAAGCCTAAAACTCACTACAGAAATTTGGTGAGAAAAAAAGACCATGACGATATATATTATTGATTTCCTAGAGTGAAATGTGGCATGCTGTGATTACATGTGTCTGACCCTAAAAGCAAGAAGGTTCTGTGCCAAAAGTAAAATGCTCTACTTATACATGAAAAGCCTATTATAAACAGAAACGAACCATAGACAGGGGAGGGGGGCTGCTGCTGCTGAACCAACTGACCATTCCAGGCAGGACCTGTGTCTTGAGCATATGACTGCTCATATCGGGGTGATCCAATGTTTGGTGCAGTTCCATTTGGATGAAAATTCTGCTGCTGCTGTTGAGGAGTCAAAGGATTGGTTTGTCCAGCCAAACCCAAAGACTGGGTGTTAACAGAATTGGAGGAGTTATCATCAGAGAACATATCAAAGAGAACAAGAGCAGTCTGCTGCGATGCAGGAGTTGTTAGTTGTGGTTCTCCCAAAGGAACAAGGGCCAGTGAATTATCTGCCTTTGGTGAATTGTAGTCATCACCACTAAGCAGGTCCATTTTGGGATTGACTGCTGCCGGAGGATTTGAACCATTAGTTGCAGGAGGAGCAGAATGCAATAACTGATTAAATGGTTGAGAACTTGCACCAGTGCTTGAGTTGGATCTGCGAAGAAATCCTGTTAGTTAAAGCTCAAGCTACCAGAAACATCTGATCAAGGATTTCAGTTAACCCAGAATTAAATAAATTTCAATCTCAATCCTAGCAACCTAAAATTTTAAAAGCAAATCAGCCACTCCTTACAGAGATAAATACACTACTAATCACATGATCTAAAATTGTTCAAAAGGTTTCCACTTCAACATAATGAAGCACCTGCAATAAGGCAACTAATTTCGAAAAACCCAGCAACCAATTCTACCAAGGATTCCTTAAATCAAATAAATCAAATTGGTGAAAGAAACTTGTAACCAAGGTCCAGGATGCTGAGAAGAAGAGCATGATTAGCACCAGTAACGCGTAGGACAAGAAGAGTAATGCAGCACACATAACAGAAGTTATTATTCTCAGCATATTCTATCATTTGCTGTAGTAACACAAAACACCAATATTTTTAATCACCAGATCCCCGCATACAGTAATCCAGTTCAAAGAGGCCTATTACCTCCCCTCGGATTGCTTGCTGCTATCCCCAGTATCAACTAGGGGACCATCGACATTCACAAGTTCTCTTGCAGGTTCAAGCTTAGGTTTGTCTGCTTGAGAAGTTCCTGAAGCTATTGCTTCATGCTTTGCTAGTACGCGCTGCAAATCATCATTCAATGATAAACCTTGATGTAGAAGTGACTCATCCCTACAAGAGATAGAGAATCAAACTGATAAGTGTTTTAAATATAAAATATTTCACACAATTCCTTCTATCATTCCACAGAGGTTAGAAACTAATTAGCTATGCAACTCATACACCACAAATGCCAGAACAAGTGACAATATCATACAGAAATTGAATAGAAATGCACACAAAGATATTCATTGAGATACTCATTGAAAGGTTTAAGAAAAAATTGAACATAAAACAAATCAAATCCTTCACATAATGCTGTGGCATCTAGTCACCATAGCATTGAGAAGAATATAATTGAATAAAATAATGAAGGCATTTGATCTCAACATTCCTCAGAAATTTTCTCCCTCCTTTTGGTCAAGCATTTTGACAAGTGATACTGGCACAATCACCCCAAGGACCAGGTAATAAAAACATAATGCATCAAAACACCCACACAGATAATATCAAGTCACTGAAATACAGAAAGTTTCTAAGGGCCACTAGGAAGTTATAGTAAAGAAGCATGTCCTTACGATGTTGAATTAATAAGGTGTACAACTCTTTGTTTGTTGGTACGGCACTGCTCCACTAAGTCAACAATCACCTCCTGCCGAAGTCCCTGAAATTGTAGAAGAAAAAAATCAGTAAATAAGCAAATTAAAAATGAAATTAAAAAAAAAAAACACAACAAGCATTATAACATGAATAGAAGATTAGCGGCATGAAACTTAATGAACTTTTGAAAAATTTTTCATTATAAGAGCTGGAAAAACGTAAAGTTTACACTGAAAAGCTGGCCACAATCTGATGAATTTGAGCATTGTCAACCAAATTATTACACAAATGTTAGTTATATTAAGACTTCAGTAGCCACTTTAAATCCAATTAATGGCTCATCACTTGGAAACTATATTACTATACCCTTGTGGGAACACAATCGTTTTAGCAAGTAAACAACGTATCTTCCTTTTCTCTACTTTTCAAATTGTGAACATATACCTCCTTTTTTCCAGGATCTAATGCATTTAGCATTTCTGCAAGGACATCCATAATACCCCGCGCGTTCTGAATTTCTGTCAAACTGATAAATAAAACTCCAGTTAAAAGACTAGATGCATCATCCAAGATAAAATCTAAGTAGGAAACACTAAATTAGAAATCTAATATTGCTATCAATAATATCACATTTTTTCAACTATTATAACTGCTCTAGCCTGTGGAAAGTTTGTATTGCTCTATTTCTAGAGGAAAAGGGTAATCATTAGCGTGAGAACACCATAGCCATGTTTACCAGTTATGGACAGGGAGCACTGCTGACCAAAACCGAGAAATTAAAATAAGTAGGAACTTTTTCACCCAATAACTCAATTTGATCTCTCTAAAAAGAATATTAAGGAGTGATAAAAAGTTTGTTTTGACAATACTCCTACTTTAATACATAGAAAATACTAAATTAGCCATATGCACCGAAAAGAATGGAATACTATCCTTATTAAACAATTGAACCTCACTGCAAAACCCATATTCAAAACATATTTCAATAAGCTCTGTAATTTATTTATTAGATAATGATAATAAGAAGTTATTATGAGGAGCATACTTTCGCTTAACCAGATTATTGCAGCACCTCAGTAAGAGAAGTTTCCATCATAGAACTGAAGAGGAATAATGGAAAACACAAAAAATAACCATGGTTTTACCACTCAAACAACTAAGGAGTAACAAGAATACCTCAGGGTTGGGAACTCAGACTCTGCAGAAGACTCAGCTGTCTCTTGCTGATCAGAATTGCGAATATTTTGGGGATAAGAAGACAAAGGTTGTGTTTGAGGAGGAGTAAACACAGGCGCAGACCTCTCCGTTCTTGAGGGGAACACTGCCCCAATATGCTGAAATAATAAACCAGCTTGGCTCAGAGAGAAAAAGAGAGAAAAGGCCATATTAAGTAAAAGTACTACTCGCATAACAGCATGTTTTGAAGACAATGAGAGAATCATGAATATGATATTGCATATGAGGAAACTGATCCCAAGAAATGCAGCATGTCTCATACAGTTTGAGATGAGAGGCCTCAGCAGACATACCAACAACTCTTGGTATGCACCATAATATTGTGGATATCTTGCCCTTGCACCTCCAAAGGCTTCTTGCCAAGTGTCAATCAGAGTCAATATCTTCTCTTTGACATTAAAATCAGGCTACAATTGAAAAGCGCAACAACTGAGAACAAGTTTTACTAGGAAGAAAGTAAATAAAAAATAGGAGTTAAAAGTACTTCCTACCCTTTTCTTCACTATTTTGACCATCTCATGCAGAACACCTCTTTCTGCAACATGCATATGGATAATGTCCCCACAGTTTTTTATGATAGTCTCTAATAGCTAAAACATAGGAAGTAGATCAGAATTTAAACAAGTATGGTACTATGAAAGAAAACGCAGATCAAAAAGACAACAAAAGTGATAATCATATCCAGGCATTAGTAGAAACTAATGTCAAAGTTATCAGTAGCTTACAGTTAGTGCAAGAAGTTGAACTTTAGGATTTTTACTTCTGAGCCGCTTTTTTATGCCTTTGACAACATCTTTCACTTGCCTGATAAATAACAAAAAATATTTCAATATAAGATTTAGAAAAGCACTAAAAATTCGAACTTAAAATATATAAATCCAAGCAGCTTCCAGCCAACCTCACTTCCATCTCCCCTCTAGGGAGAAATTTGAAAAAGTAAAGCCAATGTTAACCAGAAAATGAGGAAACTAAACCTTTAGGTCCTTTCTGCTTTCACAATAACTCACATTAACTAAATAGCTACCAGAGAAAATGACCAAAAATAATTAACCAAATCACTAGTATAAAAATTAACCAAAATCTAGTTCATTTTTTAGAATGAAAATTTAAACATTAGGAATGATAAGGTCATAGGCATTAAAATCATCTATCACATAGTAATCTTCAACTTTGAGAATAGAAGCTGAGCTCTCTATCATTAATCAATTTTTTTTACATGAAATTAAATCCTCTATCTATCAACAAAAGCCATATTTAAGAGCTTTATTATCAAACAAATAAGAAGATTCAAACTACAACCTAACCTGATTCTCTTATTTGGTTTTTCATACAGCCCGTGTTGTTGTTGTTGTTGTTGTATTATCAAACAAATCCATGAATTAAATTACATATTGAACAGAGAAAAAGCAAAGCAAACTGATCAATCCTGATAAACTTCCTGAACCAATTCTCTCTCTTTAAATTTAACTGCGATAAAAGAAAATTCGTTATTAATTTCCCTTAAATCTACAATTAGTAACAGAACAAACAAGAGGAGAAAAAAATTAAAAAAGTAAAAGCAAATCAAATCCCGAAACAAGAAAGAAAACTAGATTCACAATATTCATTTTCATTTTTTTTCATCAAATTGAGACGCAATCGTTAACAGAATCATAAGAACAATAACAAAAAGACTAAAATCCAGTGCGACGCATACCCAGGGTCGTGATTAAGCATGTCGCAGATCTCGATATTCCTAGCCCAATCAGGCCCGACCAGCAAGTCGCTCGTAGCTCTCTCCACCATAGAGTTCACCATCTTCACTAACAAGAAAAAAAAATTCGCACACACAAAAAAGGAATAAAAGAGATCAATCTAATTCCGTTCACCGTCCGGCGAGATCGCAACGAACTGCAGAATATCCCGGAAACTGCTCCGAAATACTCGCTTTATCGAATAAATCAAACGGTCCAAAATCGGCAGTTCTCTTTCTCTCCGTCTCTCCCTTCCCCTCCTCGCTTTTCTCACCTTTTCTGTCTCTGTGAGATCAAATTAAATTGGTTTTCATTTTCCGTTGAGAAAAATAATTTGTTTTTTTCTCTGCCCTTCCTTTTTTTAACTTTTTCTCAATTTTTTGGTCGGTGAAGTGAAAAAAGGAAAGACCAACCACAATTGACCACGTGTAGAAGACGATACACTTGCCGTATCCAGATGTACTTGTCCTGATGCCGAAGGTTCTGTCGACCGCTTACATAAAACGGTTTTTTATCGTTAGCTGGACTCGTTGGTTCGTGCAGGTGATTTGTGGAGTTAAAATGGCCAAAGCACGGTGTCGTTTTGAGGATATTTAACTTTGAAGGAACTACTTTTACGTCACCTAGTGGGGATAGATCTATTCTTCACCGGCCAATGAAAAGACAAGTGGTTTCTTGTAACAATAAACTATTTTTATTTAAAATTTCGTTTTTTTTTTCTTTTTTTAATGATTGAGTTTCAAGTCAGAAAGCGACCTAACTTTACTAAATGCAGAAATAATTTTATTTTGAAATAAAAAATAATTGAATTCTTGTGGTAGTGATTAGTTGCTTTATTCAATAATTTAATTTAATTGGTATATCACCATTGGTTTTTAATTAGTATTGACAATTGCTCCTTCCGTCATATTTTTATTTGTTTATTTTTTTAGATATTTTATAATTATGTATTTTTTTAATATCTAAAATTCTTAAATTTTATATTTTAAAAATTTTTTTATAATTTTTTTATTTTTAATATTAAAAATCATGAAATTTTAATTTTATAAAAAATTAAAATCTAATATTAAATTCATTAAAATTATAATTTTTTTTCTTAAATTTTGTAAAAATTAAATACACCAAAATAATTTAAAACGAAGAAAATACTATTAGTAAGTGAAGGTTTTTAAATTCAAATAAAAATTAATCCTTTAGAATACTTTTTACATTAAACAAATGAATAAGCAACTTTAAACTCATTTCATTTGGTTTGATGTATTTAATTTTAAAAGGTTATTGCCAAGTTGATAAGAGTTTTACTTACTTGGATGTCCATAAAATTATTTTATAGGAGAAAATTAAGTATGAAAAGTAAATCATTACTTACAAAAAGTTGACAAGAGATCTATAAAAGGGATATATCTGAAAAAACATAGGTTCTTGAGACATTCAAGTCACAAGTTGAGAGGAAAAAAATTTTTTTTTTTTTTGTAAATTTTTTTAATATGTGGTTAGTTTTTGTAATAATGTTTTAGATGATGTATAATTATTAATAACTTATGTAGTCTTTTCTTTTTATAGGAGAGTAAAGATCACTTGTTTTTTGCTTGTGGCTTATCCAAGCAAGTTTGGCAGAAAGCTCTGCTAAATTCTTCTGTCAAGAGACCTTTTATTAATTGGAGTGATGATTTAAATTGGGCAAATGTTAACTCTAGAGGTAAATCATTTCGTGTCATCTCATTGAGGTTTGTATGAACTGCCATTAATTATTATATTTGAAGGAAAAGGAATTGTCGAAAGCATACCAGCAGAAGACTCCGTAAGAGGTGTATCAACAGATTACAGGTTGCTGTGGACGTGAGGACTTGGTTTTTATGTTGTTTCAAATGTAACAAAAAGATTTAAACAATTATATATGTTTATTTACATTGGGGGTATAAAACTATAAAGTAGCATCATAATTAGATTTTTGGGGTTTTCCCTATTGTTACTTTATGTAGTCAGACTTGTCTCTGTGTTCTTTTGGATTTTAAAATGAAACTTTCAATTAAGGAAGAGGTACTCGGACTGAAGAAGGACCAGATTTCATGTCCTCTAGGATAAAATTCAAGAGAGTCTGGGATATATAAGAACTTCTTTGCCTACAGAGAAACACAAAGGAAATTATCAATGCTACAAGTTATGATGTGGTAAAAGTTTAGACCCCTTTTCATTTTCCTGCTAAACTTGACTAAAGAATCATAAATAAAAGATCATATCAAAAAATAATATTTTGGAAGCACTTACAGTTTGTACAAGAATTCTTCCTATAGTCTCCCGATCAAAAGGAAGAACTGTTTTCGCCATTGATGCTGACCTTATCATCTGGTCAACATATTGTTCTAATTCATAGAGGTGTTTGAGATGTGGAAAACACACAATGAAGCTTGATAAGTACCGATTAACATATGAATATATAATGAGGAAAAAAAAAGATAACAATGACGTGGGATTTCAATGGCTTCTTCATTCTAACAATTCATAAAAAGTAAAAAGCGTCATACATATATTTTTCTCTCCTTGGTTGAAAAGCAGTCAATCTTTTTGTCATCAAAGCCTCAATCATAATAACATTCCAAATTTGGACAAAAAGAGTTCTTGTTCTACTGACATATTCACTAGCCCGTTCATTATTGCAGCAGTATCAAAGACACCATGCCCCCTATGAACCATGTGATCTTTCATAAGGATCATCATAGTTGCAGCATTGGATACTATTCCACCAAAAATGCTAGAGTACATGGCTAGGTATTGCAGCTTTCCTTTGTGGTTTTCTCTGTTCTGTTGTAGCCTCTCAATAGCCTTAATAAACCAGAATTTTAGATGAAAAAAAAAAAAGGAAGAAAAAACACAAACATCACTGATATCCAAAGTAAAAGAAATATGTAAAAACATTACTGTTACACATGTGACAAAGCTGTCAACTTTATTCAAATCGTATCAAATTTGGTTCCAAAATTTTTAAATTTGCTTTGTAGAATTAAGTCATCTGAAACGCACCATGTAAGAAACAGATGATAAAGAAGACAAACCTTTGAGCAAGACAGGAGATGAATGTCTGATAGTTATCAGTAGAATCTGCCAGAAAACAAAATGATCAAAATTATCCATCAATCAAAATGGAAAAAACAAATGCAGAATTTATAAGAAACATAAACATTATAAGCAAATGATGTAATATGAACAGAAGTAATTTGCCAAAATAGAAAGACGATAACCAATCAAGGGTTCAGTTTGATTCGAACTTCTAACGATTCTCAATTCTCTAACAGTCCCTTGTTTCTTAAGTGAAAGATTTCGTGGAACAACATATAAAGCATACAAGTAATCGTTGTGTCTTGTGGGAATATGGGACATGTATTTTGGGAGAGAAGATGACAGAGAAACCATGGTAGCTATAGAATCTGTTATTGGTTGACTGAAGAATGAAGATGTCTGTTTCTGTTAGAAAGCTACACAAGTAGTTGACTCTGGTTCTAGTGGATTGGATTCCTCCGAGATCAAGGATAATAAAACTCCGCCGAAGTTGTTCGCCACTCTTTGATGACGGGTGAGTAGTAATGATAATCTAAAAACACGATAGGGTGGCATGATACAAACATGATATGAAAATAAGGTATAAAGATGATACAATTTAAAATTTTAATAATTATTATATATAAATTTAATAAAATTTTAAAAAATATATTTTATATTTTTTTGTTAACACGAATCATGATATATAATTTTTATGAAAAATATGATCTGAATGTATAAATTTTAACATTTTACAAATATACGAATCGCTAAGTTTACATATGAGGTCACACTAAGATGTATGTGTCACGAGTCAAGACTTAAGCTCCGAACCCGCGTGACTCCGGGACCCGGACATTCACCCTTCCGGCGTCCCGAATCAGCCTAACCGTCACGGTTCACACTCTTGTGAGGTATTGTCCGTTTTGGCCCCCTGACCTCACGGTTTTGTCCTACAAAAGCCGTCTCACAAGATGGAGGTGGTGTGAACCTTTATATACCCCAGTGACCCTCCTATTATGTTCAATGTGGGATTCAGGACTCTTCCTTAAGTCCGTGACATTCTCCCCCACGGAGGTGGTGTGAACCCTTATATACTCCAGTGACCCTCCTATTATGTTCGATGTGAGATTCAGGACTTCTTCCTTAGGTCCGTGACATTCTCCCCCACTCAACCTCGTGACGCCCTCGTCACGGAGGCTGGCCACCTTGCCTACCTCCCTCGAGGTGCTTGGTGTGGATCGAACGGTTTAGGGCTGACTCTGATACCACTTGTCACGGGTCGAGACTTAAGCTCCAAACCCGCGCGGCTCCGGGACCCAGGCATTCACCTTCCGGCGTCTCGAATCAACCTAACCGTCACGGTTCACACCCTTGTGAGGTATTGTTCGCTTTGGCCCCCTGCTCTCACGGTTTTGTCCTACACAAGGCGCCTCACAAGACGGAGGTGGTGTAAACCCTTATATACCCCAGTGATCCTCCTATTATGTTCGATGTGAGATTCGAGACTTTTCCTTAGGTCCATGACACATGAACCATCCCCACAGCGTATAGACCAAAAAAAAAATAGATAAAATTATTCAAGTAAAGTTTGCCAAACTTTTTTATTAAAATTAATTAAATAAAATTTAATTGATAAATTAAAAGGACTTGACTAATAATTTTTTCTTTATGCAAAAACCTTTTTTTTTACAAATAAGCAACATGTTTTTTTTTTAATCGAAGATTTAAATCTTATATTTAGAATAAAAAATTTTAATTATTAAATCAAATGATTAAATGTAAGATATTAATAAAATATTAATAATAATTTAAAATCATGTTGATTGTTTTATTTATTTATTTTTGCTATATGGCTGTTTATTTATTTTTCATTTGGAGGACTTATACTTTTAGTAATTAGAGTTTCAACTATTAAATTTTTATGTATGCATATAATAAATATAAATAAGTTTCAACAATCTATATTTTTTTAGTAATTTTAGGTTATATTTTGTCACTATATTATAAGTTGTACTCACTTCACAATATTTAAGTATGAAGCAAATTAAAAGTTTTAAATTTTAGAAACTTAATTTTTTTTTTGGCCAATAACAAAACATTGAAAAGCATAGTTAATATTTAATTTTTTTTGTTAAATATTTTATTATCTGAGATCTCTGGTGTTTGGTAATTACTTTGGACCCCGTTCAATCTAGAATTAAGTCAGGTCTGACCCCATAAAGGAAGCAAATTATCACAAACATGTTTTCTCCATTCACAAGACTCGAAATTGAGATTTTACTTAAAGGGAATCGAGTTCCT